TTGAAGCCTATTTAAGGAGCCTTTTTTAGAGATTTTGGAGAGGAGGCAACAAGCAACTATTCTGAAGATTTGAAGCCAAGAAAAAAGCCAAGAAAACAAGAGAATTGGAGGAGAAATCAGATCACAAAACTCTAACTATTAGTTTTCTCTCTTTACTTTTTTGTTTTTTCTTATTTTCTTGACTTGGATTCATGGCTAAATTTCTTTGGATATTGTTTTTATTAGATACTATGATCTAAATTATTTTTCTAGGATTGCAATTGAACTCACATGTAATCTAACTTTTAATCTCTTCCTTACTTATCTTTAATGGGATTTGAATTGTTTATTCCGATTTGTGCTTAATGCTTTTAATTGCATGGCCACCAATTAAATTGATTTAGGAACCTAAACAAACTTGGGAAAGGGAGTTTAGTGTAGATTAAAATTGGGATAACATATAATCATATTAATTGATTTGCGTATAGGATAAGGATATACCTATAGGCCATATGTAGCCAGATTAGAGCCTGAACTTAATGAGTATATTTTAATTTCAATTCACATAGGGATATAGCGTTTTAGTTAAAATAGATATTTTTATAAGATGAATCGGGAGACCTCTTATAAATAATTTAGGACTCTATTTACAATTCAACCCATTGAATAAGTTAAGAAAGAGAGGTAAGATTTAGATGAAGTGTGAGGGATAATCCTAGGCTTGTTTGATTTGCTGTTTGCCCAATTATCGTGTTGCTTTAATTTGTAATTAAATTAGTTTTGAGTTGCGTAATTTTTAGTTCAATTAGAATTAAGATTTTAATTATTTGAATAAAACTAATTGTTTTAATTTTGGTACTTAGTAAAATTTTAGATCAATTCCCTGTGGGATCGATACTCTGCTTGCTAATATACTATCTATTCAATACGTATACTTGCATAGTAGAATTTTAACTGACACTAGACTAGGATGTTTAGAGGCTATGATGAACCCTTATAAGTAGATTACCCTAGGTGAATGATATATGAGATGATTTGATTGAATGATACCTTGGAGACTTAGAAGCTCTTAAAACCTAATCAAGCTTAAGACAATTAAAGCTTGATAAATGTCAATTGAGGTTTGATTAAGAAATTGTGAATGATAAAGGCATAATGGCCTTATTTGTGGAATAGTGTTTCCATCCGAGGAATGAATTCTGGACATTGATATGATTTGTGGTTGAGTGAATTTTTGTCCCCTTGTGACTATTTGAGTGCTTTCAAGGATGGTGGCAAGCAAGGATAATGGCACCAATCCTGCTTATGATTCCCACCTTTAGTGTTTTGATGTCATCCGTTGAGATTACTTTAGGTGATGCCAACA